TTTTCCCTGTGTTTAACACCTTCCCCTTCACTCTGCCTCTCTCACAGCGTGCAAGTGGGCTGTTATGGCATACGGGGATGGGGGCAGCTCGCACGCAACTTCATTAACGTGGCGAGCCTTGCACGTGAGAGGCACAGTGGAGGTGGAGTTCAAAGAAGAATGAGAAATTTAATGGTTTCAATCTGCCCTTGTTTTTTCTCTTGTTTTTTCTTTTTCTTTTTCTTTTTCTTTTTCTTTTTATTTTTGCATGTTATCACTGTGCCCGTTTTTTGCTTTTATTCTTTGTCCCGCAAAGTGCGCTCTTTTAGTTTGTAGTGATGTGACAATATATATATCTATTTGACGATATATATATATATGTGACAATATATATAGACGATATATATATATATGTGACAATATATAGACGATATATATATAAACAGTTTGTCACAGCCCCTCGTCCTCTTCTCCCTCTCTGCCTACGGTTTACCGGGCAGTTCTATTTGACGATATATATACGTCTTCTCCCTCTCTGCCTGTGGTTTACGGGCAGCTCTGTTTGACTATATATATCTGTTTGACGATATATTGCAGTGGTTGGTGCCCACCTCAGGGTATCAGTTGTTGGGCAGTCGTTGATGCTTAAAGCGGGGGTTAAGGTGGATTATCACGTACAGTGTAATCAGTGAGGGGATTCTGCAGACTGTTGAGGGTTCAGCCTCCTGATGAGTTGGTGAAACTCCAACGAAACAGTTTGTCACAGCCCCTCGTTTGTTGTCCTCTTCTCCCTCTCTGCCTACGGTTTACCGGACAGATCCTCTGTTTGACAATATATAGTTATGTGTGACAATATATATGTATTATGTATATATAGTCAAACAGAGCTGCCCGGTAAACCGTAGGTAGAGAGGGACAAGAGGGAGAAGAGGACAACAAACGAGGGGCTGTGACAGACTGTTTCTTCGGAGTTTCACCGACTCAGCTGGAGTAAATATATTGAAAAGTCGACTCTGTATCATAAGAGCTGGAAACTGGGTGTTGCAATGCTGTTCTGTTTCTCTTGAAGGTGTCATCTTTGTGGGATCCTTGTCGCGATTCAGCAGGCAGTCTGCACAGGTCGTTCACGCTGTTGTTGATAGAGGCTGGTGACTGACACATCCGATCTGTCGTACCTGTTCTGTTTTGTGTTCATATTGTTTTGCAGCCTTCATCCTTGGTAGGTCATTGCTTGTTGATCTCGTCTTTGCAAGGGTTGGGGGTTTTGCTTGGGCTTCCCTGGGTTGAACTGTCAGTCATTTTGGATCTGTCTCCGGTGTCGAGGTGCTCGCTGATATTCAGGATTGACTATTAGGGTCTTTATGAGCTATGGCTGATGACGCAGTGCCAACTGGAGGTGATGAGATGGACCAATCTGTTCAGGATGGAGGAGACCTTGGTGCTGCATCTGTTCCATCCTCTTCGTTGGTTGAGTGTCGGGTTCCAGCGAAGCTCAAGGAGACACGTGAGGAGATGCTCGCGCGCCATCGACGCGAAGTGAAAGAATTGCAAGGCAAGGAAATAGAGATGAAGAAGGCTGCAGCAAAGGGCAGCAAAGCAGCCCAGAAGGCTGCAAGGAAGGCTATCGATGAAGAGATTGCACGATTGGATGCCAAGATGAAGAAGCGCCATGCCGCAGAATTGGTTGTCTTGCTGGGAAGCGATGAGCATGATCTGGTTGGGGTTGCAGACACCAATGGCATGGACGTGCTGGTGAGAGCGGTTGCAGGCGTTGGCTTGGCCCCTCCTGCCAGCAGAGCACCGACGAAAATGAGCCGAGCTCAGCGGTGGCGAGCTACTAAGGCGACACAGGAAGCGGAAAGGGAGCAGCGCATCCAGGAAGAGCAGAGGAGTGTTCTCAGTAGCCGGGAGTTGGAAGATCGGCAGCTTGAGGAAAAACTGAGGCCTCTGGACTTCACTCTTCGAGAGATCAAACCTGATGGTCACTGCCTGTACCGAGCAGTGGAAGACCAGTTATCAGTGTACGGGCCGCCAAAGTATGATTTCATGGGTCTCCGCGCACTCGCGGCAATGTACATGCGACAACATCGAGAAGATTTCATGCCGTTCATCGGAGAACAAGGGGACGGAAACAGTACAGCGGAAGATTTAGAGGTAGACGCGGAGAGGAAGTTTGAGAAGTATTGCGATGAGGTGGAATCAACCGCTGCATGGGGCGGGCAGTTGGAGCTCGGCGCACTATCACATGCGCTTCGCCAACACATCATGGTTTTCTCAGCAGACCTGCCTGTAGTTGAAATGGGCAAAGAGTATGAGACGGGGGCGACGGACGGCAAGGGTGGGGTGCGTATGGGTCCTCCCTCACTCCGAGTCTCCTACCATCGTCATGCCTATGGTCTCGGCGAACACTACAACTCTGTTATACCAGCAGTTACGCCTTCGGGAGAATGCGACACCTACAGTGCGTAGACAACCCCTATATCCTCTCAGACCCCAATTATTACATACTTGCGAAGTGGTGTAGGATCTTTTACAGTCCATCTCTGTGTGCCCGTCTTGCAGTGTCCTCACCGACGTCAGTGGGGGTCGTCTCTGCTGTCGGCTTGCGATGTTTTGTGCGTCAAACTCTAACCCTATTAACTTGCAAACCGGTGTCCCATCAATGACGGAAGGCTTTTCCCACTGATCTCTTGGAGACTGCAAAGAAATCCAATAGACACGTGCTGTGTCGTGGGAGTGGGAGTCGGAGTCCAATGCATTGCCTTCCTGCCTCCTGTTCACGGACTGGCTGGTTTCGCAGGCAACAATCTACAGACTGGCACATTGAATCCTGGCTCTTTTCTTCCATTGGGAGTGCTTCTATTGATATCGTGTCAGGTTAAAACTTTAGATTTGTGAAACAGAATTGCGTTTGCTTCGTTAGGCCACCCTCTTCCTTGCCTGGACTGTCTCTGGACAGGAGCTGCCTAAACAGCGGGAAACCGTCACGTGTAGAGTCCCTTCCTCCTTAATTTGTGGCCATCGAGCAGAATCAGGCTGTGTACTGTTGTTCATGAGAATAGTGTTTGGCTTAGCTGGTGATTAGTAAATGATGTGTGTTTGCGGTGTGCGCATCAAGGCATGATAACGAACAGGCCGAGTGAGAGTGAGTGGGGAAGATGTGTCCGGGAGGCGCATAGTGTATGACCAACGCCGGTTTATTAACGTCTGCAAATGAGTCGTCAAGAGTAGTCGAAGCAATGAAACTTTTGTGTGTGTGATCATTGATGCTTCATAGCTGTGTGCAGGCCAACGTTGAATGTCGAGTGGGAGGCATTTTGCCAGTTGGGTGCAACGTCAAGGTGACCGGGGCAGGGCCAGGGAGGAGGGGAAGGAAGGACGAGGGGGGATGGGGCGGGGAGCTGTTTCTCTGAAGTGCTAATCAGTTGGCTGGTTAGCGGGAGTAGTACCTATTAGTCTAGTCTGCTATACAATCCTTTGTGAATCATCATGGACTCTATTCAGTTGCCGATCTTGGTGGCCCCGATCGACGGATGGGTTGCGTTCATCTGCATGGTTCTGTTGATCCTGCTTTAACCATACGACTGTGGCTAGTTTGTCAGTGATGGGCCAGGGTTAAGCTGTCTCTGAGCTTTCACACTTGACAAGTACAGAGGTTCTTTGGGGCATGGAGGTGGCCCTGATCTCCTTTGGAAACTCCCATCCCATGTCCATACAGCAACCCACTATTTGTTGAATTTGCGCTTTATAGTGTGGTGGCTTTTTTCTCAGGGATGGACCCCAGGGGTTAGTTAGACTGTCTCTAAGCGTAGCGTTCACCCTTGATAAGCACGGCAGCTCTTTGGGTTCCTTTGGTACCTCCTGAGTCCATTCAGCAACCCGCTCTTTGTTGAAGTTTGTGAGTTTTATAGTGTGGCTAGTTCCTCAGCGGCAGGCCAGGGTTACGCTGTCTGTCTAAGCTCTCGCGCTTGACAAGCGCAGCGCTTCTTCGGGTGCACGGAGGCGGCGCCGATCTCCGTCACAAAGCCCCGCGGGCATCATTCAGCAACCCACGCTTCGTTGGAGTCGAGTTTTCTAGTTAGTTCGTGCGTCCCTCTTTTGAGAGCAGAGTCACTTTTGCTCTTGGCTATCCATCTCTGCATGGAGTGTACCACTGAGTCTTTTTGTGGCCCTTCAACCTTTTTACGAGCAGCCACCTCTTTCCTGTTCGTCGTCGGTTATTCGGCGTCTCAATGTTCATCAATCTGTCAAGAATTCAAACCCTGTTGGAATGGGTAAATGATGTGAAAGGGGTTGACCCCATTTGGAAGAGGGAGGGGGGGGCATCAATACGACAGCAGCGAGACAATGCTGGGATGAGCAGCAGGCCGACTGGCTGGCTGGCGTGTGTGTTTTGCTCTTTAGCTATTCGTGCAGCCGCCATTGCAAGGTGTTCGTGAAGACGCGGCGGCAAGCTTAAGCTTAAGCTATTTGAGCAGACGGGATGTCGAGATAAGCTATTCGCTCAGATGGCATGACAAGCTATCCATGCAGATGGTTGGCATGTGAATATGAGATGAAAAGACATGGGTTCGATCCATGTGTGGCGTTTTGGAATGGGTGCTGTGGAATGCTCTGAAGTTGTAGATGTGGTGTACTTCCTTCGCTCCCTCCCTTCACTCTGTCCCCTCACTCCGTCCCTTCAGTCCGTCCCTTCGCTCCCTTCACTCTCTTCACGCCCTTGACTCCCGTAACTCGTTATTTTATACCATGGATTCTTTCATTTACTTATCCTCCTAACCCATTATTTTATGCCATGGATTCTTTCAATTATCTACATCCTCCTATCCCCTCGATCACTCCCCTCAATCCCATAACTCATTATTTTATGCCTGCGTAGCACGGTGAACATGTTTGTGCCCCTCCCCGATCTTGTGCGAACGGCTGGCGAACGTGTTCAGGGAAACATATATTTATTTTCGTTTCTTGATTTTTAACTCACGGTTTGCTAAGATTTGAACATGACTCCAAGGCAAAAGTTGCTTGTATTGTTGTTTTACATGACATACAGTTTTTCCAGATTTTTCTGAGATTTTGTGTTTTGGTTTTAAATATTCTTTTTTATGTCCGCGTTTGGAGGGTTTTGGGCGCGTGTTCGCGTTCGGGCGAACATGTTCATGTTCGCCTCCGGATGCAAACACGATGCTACGCAGTTTTATGCGATGAATTCTTTCATTTACCCTACATCCTCCTATCCCCTCCATCACTGCTTTCACACCGTCCAGTCCGTTCACTCCCTTCACTCCCTTTACGCTGTTCAGTCCGTTCACTCACATTACTCGTTATTTGATCACATGGATTCTTTTATTCAACTACATCCTCCTATCCCCTGCAAAGATCTGCATGTTTGGTACATTCACTTTTTTTTTTTCTTTTTTTTTTCTGACAAATCACTCCACCAAAGAAGAGCCGCCATGCACCACCACCCATAGAATCAAGAAAGATGCTGTCATTCCTTGCTATGTCTGGACCTGGTGCGTTTCACCGTGTTCAGTCAAATTAAGACGCAGGCTCCATGCCTGCTGGTGGTGACTTTTTTTTTTAATGGTAAAGCAGGGTAGCATACCCGCTGACCGCCAACGACGACTGCTGACCTCTTTGCAGCCTACCAGTAGGGCCAACCGGTCGGCGGTCAGCCAACCAGTCTGTTGAGGGCCATCCATCCACTGAATTGTTTTTCAAATCTGAGCTCGGGGCTGTATCGCGCTTACCGAGTACAGCCCAAATCCGCTGAGAAACTTTTGGGGATGGGAGGGGTCCGGGTGGCGTAGGGGGGTGTTATGGGGGAGTATGAGGGTGTTGTGGGGGTGTGGGGGGGTGTTGGGAGTGGGTTATGAGGGTGTGGGTGGTGTTATTTGGGTTTCTAGACCCCGCAGCAAAAAGAGCAACTTTTGTTTTTGGGGTGCCGACCGACCGCCGACTGGTAGGTGCTGACACAGGTGGAATATGGTCTGCTGGTCGGCAGCTCACCAATCCAGGGGCGCTGACCGCCGGCTGTGCAACACTGTGGTAAAGGATAAAATCTCTTGGATTGCATTTATTCCTTTGAGTGTGATACTTGCCATGATGACTGGAAGTGAAAACACTATTGCAAAGGGACTAACAGGCAGAAATATGGCCCCCCAAATCAGCTTTCTGAAAAGCGGACATTTTGCAAAAACTGGACTCCTTCAAAAATTTTCAATATTTGTTTTTCGAAAAACTGGTTTTGCTGCTACTCATAGAAGAAGGGGATATCCTATGAGGTCAGCACAATTTAGAAATAGCCATATCTTCTTAAGACTCTATATGAATAAGGTGTAAGGGAGAGACTTGGGAGAGAGCGAAATACACATTTTTCGAAACAGTTTATGGTTTTGCAGGTTCGCATTTTAACTGTTTCTGGGAACTTTGTTGCGTGGGTAGCTGTTTTCCAACATTCACAATCATTGGCTGCAGCGACATCATGTGTGTGTGTGTGTGTGTGCGTGTGTATTCCCATGACCATTGCGGCAACAAACCTGCTTGGACAAAAGGTCTTCTGATCTATAAGACCTTTTGCTGCATCAGCCATGTTGCTCCAGCAGGCACACAGTGCTGCAGCATCGTGACAGTGTGTGTTGGGGTTTTGTGTACTAGTCTGTGCGAATGTGTGTGGTACTCCGTATGTCGCAGCAGTAGTGTGTGTGTGGGTTTGGCTGTGAGGTTGTGGATTGCTGCAGCAGCACTACACGTGTCTCTGTGTGTGACAGTGTGTGTGTGTGTGTGTGTGTGTGTGTGTGTGTGTGTGTGACTGCCACAGGGCCTGGATTTACGCCGCGTGCCGGAAGGGAATCGATTACGTAACCGATTTCATTTTAATAAGTTGAAAAACATGTGTGTTCACTGTGTGGGAATGAAATCGATCACATGATCGACTGCATTTCGGCGTTGTCAAACTGAATTGATTCCGTAATCGATTCTGTTTTCGCGCGGGTGGGAAAAAAATCCTCAAAAATATCGTGGGAAAAAAAATGTTATGCATCATGGCAGCACAAGCAACAATTGCCTGAGTGTCATCCTGAAATTCAAATTGCGAGTCGTCTGTGCGCAATGGCCATGCTAATCTTCTTTTTCTGTATAGATCCAATTTTAATGGGACATGTCCCGAAGCACAAAAGCAGCACGCTCCTTAGACTAAAATATTAACAATAAAATTGAATGAATTGGATATTGAGACCCACTGTTGTTCTCAGAGCACTTGCAGGAAAGTGGCAGAGTCCTCAGACTGAAGCTCAGTTGGAACAGCCATGACCTTAAGAGGTTGTTATGCTTCTCGGCTCCTCTAATTCTTGTATCTTTCATGCTTGCCGGTGACAAGTAACCGGACTGGCTGGCTCCCCCAGAATATAGAAGTGTTGTCTGTCCCTTAAAAAAAAAAATAAACAGACCCGAGTTCGAATCGAGATGAGTGACAGATGATAATTCTTAATTACCCTTTTCTAAATCGAGATGAGCTCGAATCGAACTACAGGGCAAGTTAGTTCTATCACCTATGATGATATCACAAGACTGTTAGTCTGTTGCCCTTTTCTTTTTCCTTTTTTTTTCCCCTTTTTTTTCTTTTCTGTAGCCCTTTTCTTAGAAAAGAAGATGTTTCCATTAGTTTCGAGGACTCGCAGAAAGGTAGCAGGCTTCTCAGACTGAAAGTGTCGTCCTCAGAGCACTTGCAGAAAAGCAGCAGACTTCTCAGACTGAAATCACTACTACTGCGTAAAGTAGATAGACAGGCAGTTTCCCTTTCATTACATAGCTGTTCGCCTTCGGTGCATATAGATGTGGAGTTCTGCTGTGCTGGATATGTGGGTAGATAGCGCACGGTATATGTAGGTAGATGTCGCCTTCAATGCAGCACATGCTTCGATCTCCTGGGAAATTGTACCCGGGTTGCTCGGCATGCAAACCCCCTTGTGCTACGGCTTAGGGAGGGGTACTTAACTTGGTTGATGTGACTGGGTACACTGGGTCGTGGCTGTATGTGATGTACTGAGTCTACTACTGACCATGCTGGGGTGGGTGGGGTTAAGTGCTCCTCTCGGGCCTTAGCTTTCATCCCAGCTCACTTTGCCTTGTGGGGTAAGCATTCTGATTTTCAATCAGCAGGTTGCAGGTTCGATGCCTGGAGGGAGCGATTGAATTGCGATTTTCAGATATTGGATATCGCGCTTGGAGGCAATGATTAAGCAATGATTAAGCAATGCACGTAGTTTTCTTTGTTGCCTTTTTCTTTTTCTGGAAAAGAAGTAATCATCGTTCTGAGAGAACTTGCAGAAAAAGCAGCTCAGTCTGAGATTGTTGCAGAGCATTCAGAAAAAGTTGCAGACTTCTCATACTGAAATCTGCTGTACTTAATCCAATTTTCACGCCTGATATCGGTATAATGGACCACGGGCTGTAATCTGGGCTGGGGAAGAAGGTAAGTGAATACTAAATACCTGTCCACATTCCCAAAGACATTGAAATTTGAAAGAGAGCAAAAGAATATAGCCTTGAAGCTCGCACATCGAGTTCCAGCGCAGTTGGCGATAAGGTATCATTATGCAAAGTGCACTAACAAAAGACGTAAATAGATGATGATGACGATGCAATTACTTGTGCAGATTTCAGTCTTGTCGTTCTAACTTCTCAGAGTGCTTGCAGAAAAGAAGTAGCGTACTTCTCACTGACAGATTGACATCGTTGGTATCAGAGAACCTGCAGAAAAGCAGCAGACTTGTGAGACTGAAATCTGCACAAGACTGAAGCCGGCACCTGGGCTGTTTTCAACAGTTCAGTTCAGGGGTGAACGAACCGGTACCAACTGAGCTACCGTCTTCACCCGAATCAGAGATCCGCGCCACTGTACTTTTCGGCGCGCTCCTGGTTGTCTGCTCAATTGCACAAAAGAGGTCGGAAAGTCACGAGGAAAGGTCAGGCTATACACTCGACAAAATGTAAGAATCCTGGGAATACTCCTGTGAATTTGTACCCTCCAGACACTCAGCTTTTCACTCCACTCCTTTCGCACACTTCTTTGTTCGGCTCAAACTTGAACACACTCTTCCCTGAAGCAATTGATAATGAATACCCCCGTTCACAGTATACCTGCTATCTCATTAATAGATCACCTCAATCCACTTTGATATCTCAGCCAGCTCGGATTTCAATTATCTCGACCAAACGGCACTGCTGCAGCCCCAGCAGATCACGAGTTCCCCCCCCTCCTTTTTTTTAACAGCGCTGTTGGGCGGTGAGCTCGGGTCGAATGAGTGAGGGACAACTCTCGAAGGACGTGGATTGATTTATGGCTCCATTCATTGACTGATCTTCTGCCGGACACTGGACGCCTTCAGCGTGCTCATGACCCTTTCTTAACACAGGGCCCCTGCTAGTTAGTCATAAATAAGTCTTGGTCAAGGGTCAAGTCAGATACATAGACATGTTCTTACCCCAATGTGTCTCCCCCTGTTTGATAAGGAAGCCATGAATGAGTCTCCTGCAAGAACGGGGATGCTACAAAGACTCTGTCTCCCTTATCAGTGTATTTCGGGCTTCATCTTCCGGTCCCGTTCACTGCCAAATGCGTGTTTGTAGAAGATAATAAAGTGTCATGCCTTTCGCCTCGTCCTTGTTTCCCACTCTTATTCTCACTCGTTCTTCTCTCTCTCTCTCTCTCTCTCTCTCTCTCTCTCTCTCTCTCTCTCTCTCTCTCTCTAATTATTGGGTGCGGGTGTGTACGGGACGTGCCAGCGCACATGCTGTTTGTAGGACACTACCGCTTTATCACTCACTTGAGAGAAATCAGGAATGATCCTTCCTCACGATTATGTCTAGATAGGATCGTCACGTTCTCTCTGTTGTCTGCGCCCCGGTGAGCATGCCCTTGCATGCTCATTTTCTAATAGGTAGGTGTGATGCTTTTAGACTCACGAGATAATGCGGGAGGAGAAACACCTGATGG